TCATTAGATCCTTAGTGATACGTCCACCTTTATCCAGATGTCCCATTCTGCTAGGCTGAGAATTACCAGACAATTTGATGACAGTGGTGGTGTAGCTGCAACTTTCTCTGCTCTAGTGAAGCTACCAGACATCTGGGACAGCTGCAGCATATATAAGCCACAAATTTTACCTGTATTAACAACCTCCCATGGTGGCTCTAAGTCCTACTCTGACTCATTGGGAAGAAGGAATTATTTCTCAAAATTTCCTTTGTCCAAAGGAAACCAGAATGAAACACACATAAAAAGAGATTAAAAAGAGTGATAATTCAACTATTTATTAGTTATGGATTTACAGGATGGATACTCCTATCCTGGAAAATGTCAGTCATACATGAGTGAACAAAGCTGGGATTGTTCATCTTGCCTTCAGAATATATTTCCCAAGATTTCTTTTAGGAAGGGTAGAACACAAGGCCCAGAGTAGAGGAACGACATGCTTGGAGAGATACCTCTTTTCTCTGGTCTATACCAGAGCAAAGACTAAGATTTCAGGAACATTATACCCCAGTGATATTAAAAGGAGAAGCAATTTAGTCGTGCTGCTAAATCCTGTGAGTAAAAGCCAGTGATTGTGAGTCTTGATAAGTACAACTCTGCCTAGAGGCAAAAAACCTATTAGCTTGAAGAAGACTCATGGATTACTCTCCTTTTAGCAATACTTCCTAGTAATCAGTAGTTTATGACATAGCCTGTGGGTCAATTAGTCATTCAATAAATATCCTTTGGTATATTTATTACATGGCAAATTCTGTTGTAACACAGCTAAGTAAACTTTCCTGTTGCATTATTCCAATGGATAGCAGCCCCGGTCCAGACTGTGGACAACCTGGACTAAATGGAAACTGGAAAAATGCAATGAAGCTTGGGCTAACCCTTTGCCTAATTATTTTCCTTTTTAAATGTGTGTAGTGCATTCTCTAAAGGAAGCCTAGAACTATAGTAAAAGTTTTTATAGCCAGAGTGAGAATACAGGAGAGGAGAGAACTCAGATGAGTTCTCCCAAATTCTCCTTCTAACAACTCTAAAATAATGCTTCAAATTGACTTCCGGAGTGGCAGAACCTAAAAAAAGGTTGGATGAAACAATTCAATTTAAAAAGTCTGTTTCACCAGGATAGTTTTGAAGCCTAGAATTCAGGGCAGACCTCAAAGCACAGGCCTTGAAGGCAGCTGCACTGACAGCAGTAGCAGCTTCAGGAGGTTCAGTGGGGCAAAAAAGAAATAGAAAAAAGAAAAACAATAACAAAAAAACTGCTTAGAAGGAGATTGAAACAGAAACACACAGAAAGATTTCATTTTAAATAATTGAAGATAATATAAAGTATGTGGGAGTCTACCTGCCAAGAGAAACTCAAGAAAGATATGAATACAATTATAAAACATTTTTCACACGAATAAAGTCAGATTTAAGCAATTGGAGAAATATTAAGTGCTCATCAGTAGGTCAAGCCAACCTAACAAAAATGACACTTCTACCTAAATTAATTTACTTATTCAGTTTCATATCAAATTACAAAAAAAAAAAAGATAGTTTGGGACTTGGGAGCTGGCTTTTATTTATTTATTTATCTTCAAAAAGCTGAGACAATTTTCTTTTGCTCCTATGAAGTTTTTATTCTTGAAATACAGCTTTTAAAAAACCGGCTTTAAAAAAAAGCCTATTGTGATTCAAATGGAACTGCTTGACTACCCTTTTAAACCTAATTACTCTGGTTTTCATTGAATGGCTCCTTGGACAACCCTCTTTTGTTCATTGTTTAGGTTTTGATGGCTTAGAATGAGTGTAAATCATAATTGTTTTCTGTTCCAATTCTGAGGGTCTAACTCTCCCAGCCTGATACTTTTGTGATGGTAAACTGGGGTATCATTCCTACCAATTCTTATCTAGCTCTTAGTGGTTGAATGGGCATTGCCTCACATAAATTGAGACCTGAGAAAGATCTTAATTTATAAAGTCCAAGGTCACCAACTGTATCCTGAACAAGAAAAAAGTTTTCTTGACTTTTTGTCTTGCCACTGGACTCTGATGACTCTGGAGGAGACAATGAGGCTGACTGACTTTGTGGGGCTCTGCCTCATTTAAATTCATATAATGAGTAAGTCAAAACACCACCTTCATGATTGAAATGTCATGTCATTATTTGAGAATGAAGGATAAAACAATTCTAAAAAAAATTAAAGAAAAAGGAAAATGACCTATATTACAACAAATATTTATAGCAACTCTTTTTGTGGTGGCAAAGAATTAAAAATAGAAGGTATACCCATCATTGAACAATGGCTAAACAAGTTGCAGTATGTCATTGTGATAGAATACTATTGTGCTATAAGAAATGATAAGCAAGATGCTTTTAGGAAAAAAATACCTGGGAAGATTTACATGATCTGATGCCAAGTGAAATAAGCAGAACCAGAAGAATATTGTGTACAGAAACAACATTTTGTTTTTTGATCATCAACTCTGAATGACTTAGCTATTTTCAGCGATACAATGATCTAAGACAATTTCAAAGGTCTTAAGATGAAAAATGTTATCCACTTCCAGAGAAAGTACTAGTGGAATTTGAAAGCAGATTGAAACACAATTTCATTTAAATTTTACTTATTATTGTAGAGTTTTTTGGTGGGATCTGTGGTTTTTTTTTTGTAAAATGGCTAAAATGGAAATGATTTGCATGACCACAAATGGCCTCGCTTTCCAAGGAGTGGTAAGAGGAGTCAGGGAGAGAGAATTTGGAACAAAACATTTTAAGATATAAATGTTAAGCCATTTTTACATGTAAATTGATACAAAATTTAAAAAAATGAAAATAAAAAAATAGCCAAGTTTCATATATATGTGTTTTTGTTTTATGTAATTCAGAGTATATCTTGTCAACCCTTTTTGTATTCTGTGTCGTGGTAAATTCGGCTGACCTTTATCCAGTGGTCAGATTAGCCAAAGAAAAAAAGGATGAAAATACTGAGATATTTTCTGCTGAAAGTTTCAAAGGACAGAGTTTTATCTCTGTGTTTCTAATTTCTGCCAAGTTGAGAATGTAAAGAGAAAAAGAGATAAGAGGGAAGGATGTCTTTCCCCACTTTGCAGAAATATATGGCACTACAAACTAAAGAGAAACTAAATCTGTTATTGAAGTATAATCTGTCTAATGTTTACATTTAAATTATGGTGGAAGTGGTTTTCATATTTTTATATACTGCATGCCGAAATATTCAGCTAATTTTGGGGCAGTACAACTCCCTAGGATTGTTAAAAAGTAAAGACTTTGTGGGACTCTAGTGTTAATGGATCAATTTTCTCCTTATGTTGTCAGAATTCAACTTCCATGATTTTATTGCTACCCTTTCTAAACCATGCTTCTCCTTCCCTCACCCTTTTAGGATTTCCTAAAATCCTAAAAGGGTTTTTTTCTCCCTCAAAATGTTCACTCTTTCAAGGCAAACTCTGTATTTCTTGCTTGTATTTCTATCTCCAACATTTAGCACAGTGCTTGGAACAAAGTAAGTGCTTAATAAATGCTTTATATACTTTCTTCCATCCTTCCTTTTCTCTATTCTCCATCTCTGTCCTCTTCTCTCTCTTCCCTCTCCTTTCTCCCTCTCTCTAAAGAGCAGCAATAAGGAAGATGATTTAAACTGAGAGATATTTTAAATCTTATTTATATATAAATTTAACTGTGTTTCATTGTTGCTATAGCTTATTTATCTTCCTAACTCTATTACAGGGAATTTATTAAGAAGGAATAGAATTCCATTTTTACCATAACTATCCTTAAAAATATTTGTCATTCTTTTAGCTCTTCTGAGCAATGCAATGATCTAAGACAATTCCAAGAGACTCATGATGGAAAATGCCATCCACATTCAGAGAAAGAACTATTGGAGTCTGAATGCAGATCAAAGCATACTATTTTCTCTTTCTTTTGATTTTTTCTTGTTTGTTTTTCTTTCTTGGATTTTTCCCTTTTGTTCTGATCCTTCTTTCACAACATAACTAATGTGAAAATATGTTTAATATGATCTTCCATGTATAGCCTTTATCAGATTACATACTGTCTTGGGGAAGGGCGAGTAGAGGGAGGGGGAAAAATTTAAAACTCAAAATTGTTTGAAAGTAAATGTTGAAAACTGGAAATAAATAAATAAACAAAAAGAAAAACATTTGTCACTCCTTGTTGACTGTATGGGGAAGGCATAGGAGGCAAGTTTGTTCAAGGTAATTTACATGTTAAATTAAAATAAATTATACATATATAACCAGGGTATCAAGCTTTTTTCCTTAGGATTCTCCTCATTGATGGAGAATAATTATTTGATGCTCCCAGCATTCATGAGGGATCATGTTTCAGAAAGGCTGGGAGAGGACAGGACAGGTAATAAATCTTCCAAGTTCTGACTTTGAAAGAAGACACACAGTGTCCCAGGTTTTATTTAGGGAAATGTACCAGGAGAAAGAGAAAGACTCTAGGAAGAAGTTATCTACAAAGGAATTGGAGGTGAAAAAATAATCTAGTATCTCTCTTTTCCCAATATCTTCCCAAGGCTACCCCTTAAGCAGCCGTGGAACATTGAGTTATCATTCTCCACAAATGAGGAAAATACCATGCAGAAAATATTGAGCCTGGTGTTATATTGATATAAATGAAAAAATAGGGCAGCCGCATTTCTCTTAAGATTACCAATATTTTGGAAGAGAATAAAATCTCTGGTGTGAGAAACTTTTCTATGAGTATTACTGATTCAACTTCTGTTGCTGTTCTAGGGGAAAAAATCACTAGGAATGAAAATCTTCATGGTTTCTGGACAAATCCTTCAAAATGAAAGTGAAAACTCATTTAAAATACATAAGGTCTGAGACTTCATAAAAGATTTTCCTAAAAATATGAAAAATATTTAGCTCTGCAGAAATAACACTATTCACAAAATATATTTAAAAGAACCAAAATAAATAACTCATACCTCACCAAGTGAGTAATACCGTCTTGGAATCTGGGAGTCTGGGTAAATGTTTTCTAGGTACCAAGAAAATGGCTTACACTTCAAATTTTCTCTTAGTGCTTTTCTGACCGATACATCTCCATAATCCACTTTGACAACACCTAGAATGTTTCAGAGAAACACAAAAATTAGTTTATACTCTCTTTGCAGCAAAAATAGCAAGAAAAAATGCCACTGATCACCCTTGCTATCATTTTTTAAATTAATTATTGTTCAACAAGATTCAATTGTATATGCACTTGCTACTATGGTTGACTCTTTTATTGTCATCCAATTTAGCAAATTAGAATGGAAAGTTTCTTTATTAGTTAGAATTTGCATTTTCTCTCTGATACATATCTTTAAGAAACTTTTGTTTTGGGGAAGGATCATTAATTAAGTGAAAATTCTTTTTAATTCAGTAGCTTAGAATCAAAGACAATTGTATTCCATTATGATTTCTTTACATGAAGCATTTTCACAAAACAAGCATTTCATAGCTTTCCTCTTATTTTTCTATAATACCATAAATCTTCCATTTTTAAAATTATTCAATATGTGGGATAGTAGGAAGTGAGCCAGGCTGGAAGTTAAGATGAACTAGAATCAAATCATGTCTCTGACACAAATTGGCTGTCACTTAACTTCTCAGTGTTGTAGGCAACTCCAAAGAATGTAAGTTGCAGAGAAGGTGTGCTTACATTGGTAGACTGAGTTTAATTACCAAAGAATTTGATACCCCAATGAAATTACAGGTCCCATCTTTTGATATGTGATAACAACAACAACAACAATAATGGCAAACACAAATGTGAAGTAAACATATTTTTGTTGTTAAGTTGTTATCATTGCGTTTGACTCTTCATGACCCCATTTGAAGGTCATGAATTCAAATCCAGCCTCAGACAGTTACTAGTTATGTGATCTTTTATTTAGCCCAGTTTGCCTCAGTTACCTCATCTGTAAAATGAGCTGGAGAAGAAAATGCCAAGAAATCCAAATGGGGACATGAAGAGTCAGATGTGACTGAAATGACTGAACAAGAACACTATACACATGTATATTTAGATTGTTTTCATATTTTAAAAGTGTTTTACATATATATATATATATATATATATATATATATATATTATATATATATATATATATATATATATATATATTATCTCCTTCAGTCTCCATACACCATTGTATTCTCCAAGGTATGAAGTAAACGCAGGTGTCATTGGAGTGAGTACCCCCAATAGTAGATATTTTAAAGTAACAAAATACAAACATTTGAGCTATTCTCTCTCTCTCTTTCTCTCTCTCTCTCTCTCTCTCTCTCTCTCTCTCTCTTCTCTCTCTCTCTACTATCTATCTACTGGAATTAGATTTTTATGTCAATAGAGTTCTCATGTAGAAGGATAAAGAATAATGTTTCCATTTAAACTTGTAAAAAGTCACAGGTTGAAAAATACGTTAGCAAACACTTTAGTCTGTTAAATAAACATATGGAGAGTATGCTTCATATTTTGATATAATTGATGTCTAGAGAGATCAGCCTAAAATTACTTTCAGACCAAAATAATTGGATAATTCAGACAAAAGTATAACTTTCCCTTGGATTAAATGTGTAATTCCTTTCATTTAAGCATCTCAGGATGGCATTATGTCAAAATATACAGGATGTGAAACTAGAGGATTGTCTGGTTTATATAGCACTTTTTTACTATACCTAAATTAGGTACAAGAATCAAATAGATAACCCAGAAATTAGAATGAATTAGTAAATTAGTTCAAACACTTGTACTCTGGTTGTGTCTGTCACATGTGGAAAATTCTGGCAAGGGTAGAACAGAAGCATGTCCAAAGCTATGGGCATTTTCAGTTTGTCTTGGCCTATCTGATCAATGTTTATATAAGGCATTATGAGAAAAACTATTCCCCAGATATATCTAAGGAACTTTGCTCATAGAAAAATTAGCACTGAAGATCGTAGAATATGAAGATAAGTTGTATATATATGTGTATACATATATATACAAACACATATGCACCTATATATACACATATGTATATATAGGTGTATATGTGTGTGCATGTTTGTGTATGTGTGTATGCATATTGGTTTATGTGTATATACATATGAACAAGTATTTAAAATATATCCACAATATTATTTTAAATCATTTTTAACATTCTGTATTCTATTAAATTTTATGCATTTGGATCATTTGAATAACTATTAGGAAAATATGAGAATTCACGTATTATCATCTAGCCAGTTTAACTTTTTTCAGAATATAGCTACAAAGTTCAGTCAAAATATGTGAGGCAGATTCATAAAAATTTTACTGAAATGTCTTCCATTTGAGCTGAACCATATAAAGAAAAATTGTTGTTTCTCTTTCTATCATCCCATTTACCTAGCATAATACTTGTCTCATACTTAATACATGTTTGTTAGATTGGATTGAGTTGTAGTTGTGGAAGGAACACAGGATCATAGCTTTAGACCTGGATAGGACCTTAGAGGTCATCTAATCTGACCTCCTCATTTTACATACAAGGAAATAGAGGCTTAAAAAAATAAATTATTTTCCAAAGTCACACAGATGTTCAAAAGGAAAACTTAAATTTTAAACCAGGTACTCTGAATCCATTATGCTTACTACTCCTCTATGCCTTAGTGATTGATGATGTGCTAGGGATTCTATTTTATGAAAATTGAATATTTTGATGAAAAGCCTAATAAAATCTGATTCCCTTTGGGACCATGTTATCTATTTTCTCTTTAAAAAGTTTTACTAGTCATTTTGTTTTTGTCAGCTTTTGGGGAAATGTTCATTATTAGAGTCAAACAACATATAGCATAATTTTACTCTTTTCATTCTCATTGTTATAGTCAATGTGTATATTGTTTTCTGGTTCTGATTACTTTATTTAACATTTCATAACAGTTTTCTCTGACTTTGTCATATTCATTGTTTCTTACAGCAAAATGGTATTTCATTACATTTGTCAATTTGTTCAGCCATTTCCCAATGGAAAAGCACTATTTTGTTTACAGTTCTTTCCCATCACAAAAAAAAAGCACTGCTATGAATAGTTTGGCTTATAGGAGACCTTTATGTCTTTGTTCTCTTTAATGTATATGCCTGGGAATGCAGTCTTTGATTTTTGAGAAAATGATTTTATCACCAATGTAACTTAATTGAGAACAATTTCATATTTCTTCTGTCAATGTTCCTTGGGATATATAGTGAAGGTATCAGAATTAGCTAGCTTGTTGTTGTGAGTATACAGTATTAAAATATCATCAAGAGAACAGAAGAGTAGCAGGAAGAAGTTAAGTTCAGCTTCAATAACCATAACTCTGCAAAGATGTAGAAAATATATCAGACTCAATCATGACCAGGAAATCAAAGGGAAAAAAAAGCACACTGAGTCATTTTACTGCCGAAATAAGCTTAGGGGGGCAACCAGAGAAGTTTGTAGTCAATGGGGATGGATCTATTCAGGAGCACTCCCACAGGGCATTTCAGTACCTAGAGACAGAAGACAAGACTTTGCCATGAGTCAGAAAGTACCTGCCTTGAGGTAGGAAGAGGTCCCAGAGTGTCTCTGAACTAATGGAATGCAGGAATTGCTGTCATTTGGCAGTTCTGTCAGTTATTACCCAGCTTTGAATCATAGATTCAAGGTAGACTGATTAGGGAATCTGTGCCTAGAGTAATTGAGAAATGGTCATGGCACCTGTTTTCCGAGTGAAGTACAAGTTTGGAAGCAAAGAGTAACTGTGCAACTCTCACCATAGGAGGAGAGCAATAACTTAGTTTTACCCTCCAGCCTAGGTTGAAGCCCATCATGGAAAAATTAGGGCAGTAATCCCAGACTAAAGGGGACTTCATAGTCTGGCTACATGGAACCTTCCATGTGTCCCAGTGTTCTAATACTAGTTGAATGCAGAAACAGTCAATTGAAACTTTTAACCATGGACAAACCAATGGAAAGTTTCTTCACATGCAAACTTGGGACACACAGTTATAGAGTTCAATTAAGGAGGGAAATGAATGCACTTTTTCCAGATCTTTTTGCTTGGGAGCATGGAAAGCTTGAAGGTTCCTATCATGAGCTATCCATGATATTATCATCCAATGGTAAAAGGAAATGACAGAGGGATCTGAGGAGATAGAAATGTAGCTCATTCATTTCTCCAAACCAGAAGTACACAAAACCTAGTTCCAAATTAAAGTCAAGAAATATGTTGTAAGAATAAGCAAACAAAAAGAATCTCACAAAAAAAAATGCTCATTATGGTAGAGGGAAGGTGACCATAAAAACCAGAGAAGAAGAATATGATTCTGAAACATTTATAAGCAAAGACTCAAAGAAACAATGCAGCTTATGTACAAATTCAACCAGAATTTTTAGAAGAGACATAGCAATATGTTTTTAAAGAGAGTGCTTAAGTGATTTAAAAAAGCCAAAGGCAAGTTTTCTAGGAAAAAAGTAAAAATACGACCTATAGAAGAAAGCTTTGGAAAGAAATTAACAGCTTAGAACAATAGGTCCAAAATCCTAAATAAGAAAATAACTACCCCAAAATGAGAATTGACCAAATGAAGTTAACAATTCCAAGAGACACCAAGAAATTTTAAAAATGTTAAAAGACTGAAAATAGAAGAAAATACTAGTCACCTCAGAGGAAAGTTAGATGACTTGTAAAACAAATCAAGAGGAGATAATTTTTAAATTAATTAATCAATTTGTTTTAGTTTTCAACATTCACTTCTATAAGCTTTTTAGTTCTAAATTTTCTCTCTCTCCACAAGATGGCATGCAATCTGATATAGGTTCTAAATATACATTCATATTAAACATATTTTCACATGAATAACATTGTAAAAAAGAATTAGAACCAATAAGAAGAACCATGAGAAAGAAGAAACAATAGCAAAAAAGAGAAAGAAAGAGGAGAGAGAGAGAGAGAGAGAGAGAGAGAGAGAGAGAGAGAGAGAGAGACAGAGAGAGAGAGAGAGGGAAAATTGTATGCTTTGATCTGCATTCAGACTCCATAGTTCTTTCTGTGCATGTGGATAGCATTTTCCATCCTGAATCTTGTAGTTGTCTCAGA